AACAACACAACGTAATTGATTGACATATACAATCTAAAATCTCAGAAATTTTCCCCAACCATCATCACAAAAATCATGTGGCCACATCTTTTTGCAAAGCCTATAACATTGTGTAACGGCTATGATCAAGTTCTGCGAACTAACCCCATTTATTTTCAGGTAAGACATACACTTCGTGATCTTTTCGCTACCGATTAAGAATAACATGAGTCGATTTTTAATATCATATATGTCAAACTAATTCAAGTCCATTAAAAAATCACTTAATATATTTTAAAATTCGATTTATATATAAATAAATAAATATATGTAATATACAGTATGTATAGTTCACTATATTAAATATTCATATCGTTTAACATTCACAAATTAAAAAAAGTATCGTTTTAAGTTCACAAAAAAAAATTCGTTTAAAATCTTTTGATTAAATACTCTTTTGATATTGAGAAAAATACTTCTCAACTAAAATAAAGTTGATTAAATAAATCTCGCTAAATAGGTTTCAAAAAAAAACTTTTTTTTAATTAGATTTAATATACAGTAGATCAGTCTTGAAGTTCTTTAAGAAAAGGTGAGTTCGTTAAATAATTTTATGCTAAAAACTTTAGAAATCGATATTTCCATGCCAACATCGATCCTCCCACAGCCTCTGCACTTGTTCCTTGATAATAGAATTTCAAAGTTATAGCGTAAATGTAAAGTAGACTGATGTGACTAGGATTGGAATAACTTGCCTGATAATTATAAGATATTGGTCATGCAACGATTAATATCATGAAATTTGTTTTGTCGGAGCAAATGATTGGTTGACATGTGCCGCGTAGCGGCACGTTTCAGCCAATCATTTGCCACGACAGAACAAATTTTGTGATATTTATCATCGCATGATCCAATATCGATGTTATCGTGCAATTATGATCATGATTTCCGAGTCGTGGTTGGCTAACTGAGTTTTAATTCGGGATTGTTGTGCTTACGTAATAACGTACAAAAAATAACAAGAAGAAAAAAATCTATGATCATAAGAATTTGCACGATAATATAACTTACATTGCAACGTACAGTACATCATAAGTTGCATGACTCTTATGTAAGTTACGAATTTAAGCCTTTGTCGATCAGAATTATACGTTGGGTCGCATTAAAGACCAAATTGTCGATATTCTAGTCTTTTTTCGAGGTAGACAATTTTTGTTTTTTTTTGAGTAATATTTGTATTATTCCGGGATGAGGTAATAGACAGACCAAAAATTTTTAATTTACGTAAGTTACATGTAAATTGTATAACTAAAAATTAAACTTACGTAAGAGCTAGATGTGACAACGAAAATAATATTATTAATGCCATTAAAATGCACATGGAAATGATACAAATTAGTGAAACGAGGTTAGATCCGTTAATGAACCGAATATAATTAAAATTTATTCAATTTATGTGACATGAAAGTTAATTTTCAAAATTGAATCAGACTTAATCGGGGCATGATCTAAGTTTTTTGCCCCAAACATGGCACAAAATTGTGACAGCGTGTCCTGATTTTTTTTCTGGCGATGTTTCTACAGACAGAGATCGTGTAGTATTAAATGTGCCACGTGACTTTTAATTACAAATCAATTTACTGTGAAAA